AAGCTAAAAGAAAATTCTAATGGCTTGTGGGTAGAGAAATCTGTACGATAGTTTGCTTCAGCATCTTTCCTACTTAAAAGCTGTACAAACTCATCAATTTGCAAAAGGAAATTAATAATGTCAAAAAGTAAAAAATTATAACCTTTACCACCAGCAAACAAAACTTTATTTATTTTCAAAATGTCAAACAAATTATTTAACAATTTTTCTCTTTGATATTTATTACTAAGGAAATCAACTTGTGAAAAATACTTGTCAAAAGTATGCTAAATGCTCTTCCTTTATTAACTTATGAATATCAAGTAACATCCTGGCTGAAATACCAAATATTGTATTGACGGTTGTTGAAGGCACTCTGAATTGACCACATAGTTTAATTGCTAATGTTGTCTTGGAGTCAATCCTTTTTGTCTGAAAAGGCACTATTTCTCTTTTGTTTTTTTTTTGCAAATGTGCCTTAATATTCCTCTTGCTGATTTAAAAGAGCCATTACAAATTTTACAAACAATTTTACAAAGTAGACTCATACCTAAATGTCTATCCATACGTGCATTATTGACTGACTTAAAACCACAGCAACATACCTTTACTCCAATTTCTAGAGAGAGTGAAGACGGAAAAGGAGATGAACAATTGCTTCTACAAGGATCATCCCCCAAACATTCTTGGTTATTAACTGGAATTGAATTCAACATTTCCATAAATGTAGGTTCGTATGTTTCTTTGCAATGGTAGGTGTGATTCTGAAAAGATAAAACGTAATCATTGTATATTGAACATAAGAGAAAAAAAGAACATATTGGCAATATATTTAACAAAATAACACAAATATATATATATATATATATATATATATATATATATATATATATATATATATATATATATATATATATATATATATATATATATATATGTATATATATATATATATATATATTTATATATACATATATATATATATATATATATATATATATATTTATACATATATATATATATATATATATATATATATATATATATATATATATATATATATATATATATATATGTATGTATGTATGTATAATATAATATAATATATAATAATAAACTTTTACCAATAGCCTTGACAACAATTTCACACGGATTAGGAAGAGCCACTACCATCTCATCTTCTAAGACCATATCGGAAAATATTAAATCAAATTGGTCTGAAAATAGACTTATCTTTGAGGACACTGCAACAAAATATTATTTAAGGATAAAAATCGGTTATAACTATGTCATAGTTAAAACCAATTTAATGCATAAAATATAGTCTTAAAAACTTTAGTAAGATTTAAATCGAAATTCATCTTTTCAGGTTTTATTGCAATAAACCATTTACTTTTAGTGCAATAAAAGTATTTATTTTAGTGCAACAAAAACTTCTTTCTGTTAAAAGCTGTGAAATTTTGTCGTGAAATTTTGATTGGAATGCAAAAAAATTGATAGTATAATAAATGATATCAAAATTATGCCAACAGTTATATTATAACAGTCAGTGTATTAAGGTTATCGAACGAAAGTATCGGTTAGTGGTATTTATTGTCGTTCATTCTAACATTTCATTTTGAAGTATTTTTTGGAATGTTATACGCATGCGTTACTTTCACGTTATTTCAAACATTAAAGTTTTGAAACCTCGTGGCGCGCGTAGGAAATTTCTAATTATTAAGTAGGGGAGAGCGGGGTTGGTTGTCACGCGGGTTGGTTGTCACAAAGTTTATTACAGGAAATGTAAATAAGATATAGAAATTTCAAATTATACAATGGAAATGTTATACAAAAAAAACATTTTTACAGTAATATTTATCTTTTTTTAGCGTGCAGAAGAAAAGTTATTCGTTTTTATAGGTTTTTGATATGTAAAAGTAAAATTTCGCCTACTCAGAAATTTTCTTTTACCAAACGAAAATTATTTTATTGTGTTTTGAATGTAGATTTATAAAGTACTTTATTCATTTGAGTAACTTAATCCGTAAAAAATTATCATGAAATTCTCACGCTTTTAGGTAAATGTACAGGTGTCCAGCAACTTACTCAGAAGGGGTTGCTTGTCACAAAATATATGGGGATGGTTGTCACACTTGCCTCGACTCCATGCGCTGCAAATTAAACGCCGCTTGCAGAATATTTAGTGGCTTTGTTTATTTTCCGCATTATTGAGGAATATTTTAATGTTTAAGATATTATTTAAAAATCTAAAGTCAAAGTGTTATATTTGTTTAACTAAATATCTGTAATATAAATTATTTTTATTTCAACGTGCATAATTTTAGATTCCGATCCAATTTTAGTATAGTTATAGAAAAAGGATTGCAGAAGTTCAACTGTTTATTGTTTTGTTTACAAACTAAACAACTAGCTGTTGTTTAGTTTGTAAAACTGTCTGTTGTTTTGTTTGTGCATTGTTCATATTTAGTGGGTTTATATATATATATATATATATATATATATATATATATATATATATATATATATATATATATATATATATATATATATATATATATATATATATTAATGTTTTGTTTACATTATTTGCAAATATTTTTATTTGCTTAGTAATAAACATAATACGAAATTTTAAAAGAAAAACTAATAGAGGTTATACTTCTGGAGATGTCATAATGTGTGCTGTTAAAGATGTAAAGATTAATAACATTTCTATTAGATCAGCAGCAAAAAACCATGGCATTAATTACAGAACATTAGCACGTTATTGTAAAAAAACTATTATTACTAACCCATTACATGGTTCTATAGCAGATCTAATTGACAAAATTGAAAACCCCACCTCCCTGAATATTATAGGATACAAAAGTTGATTGATATTGCCAGAAAAAGTAGAAAAAGAACTGGTCACCTACCTGTTGCGAGCAGCAGATATATATTTTGGTTTAACTCCCACCGAAGTAAAAAAGCTTGCTTTCCAGCTAGCATTTAAAAATAATATGAAGGTTCCCAATTCTTGGGTTGTAAAGGAACAAGCTGGTAAGGATTGGTTTACAGGATTTATAAAGCGCCATTCAAATATTTCCATTAGGCAATCTGAAGCTACTAGTTTAAGTCGAGCGACAAGTTTCAATAAGCAGAATGTTGCATCATTTTTTAGCAATTTGCAGCACTGTATGCAAAAATACTCGTTCTCACCAAATGACATTTGGAACATGGACGAAACTGCTGTAACTACTGTACAGCAACCTAAAAAGGTTATTGCAAAAAAAGGATTAAAACAAGTAGAAGCCATCACGTCAGCTGAAAGAGGAACTCTTGTAACATTAGCATGCACAATAAATGCTATTAGAAATAGTATTCCATCCTTTTTTATTTTTCCTCGTAAAAACTTTAAAGATCATTTCCTAATCAGTGCACCAACAGGAAGTGCAGGAGATGCAAATCCAAGTGGTTGGATGAAAGAAGAAAACTTTGTAAAATATCTAAAACATTTTGTAGGCAATACAAAATGTACTAAAGAAAAGCCTCGTTTATTGTTGCTTGACAATCACGAAACTCATCTTAGTATTGAAGGATTAGATTTGGCAAAAAATAATGGAATAGTAATGCTTACCTTCCCACCACATTGCACACATAAGTTGCAGCCCTTGGATAAGGCAGTTTATGGTCCTCTCAAAAACTTCATAAATACTGCTATGACATCATGGTTAGTAATGAATCCTGGAAAAACTGTTACAATATATGATATTCCAAAAATAGTAAACATTGCATTTCCAAAGGCTGTATCTCCCCACAATATTTTAAGTGGTTTTTCTGCAACAGGTATTTACCCGTTAAATCCTGATGTGTTTACTGAAAATGATTACTGTCCTAACTATGTAACTGATCGCCCTGACCCACCTTGTTCACAGGCTGATTCAAATAAAAAAGACTGTGAATCTTATTCAATGCAACCAGAACCATCAAATAAAAGATTTAAAGAATCTATTCAGATACCAGATAATCAGGTAGACATAACAATAGAAGATCCAGTTGTATCAAATAAAACCTCTAATCAAAACCCAATCACAACATTAGGTTTTAACAATTCAATCATACCACCTGAGAGTATTAGGCCTCTGCTTAAAGCAGGCCCGAGGTTAGCATCAAAAAGAGGTAGGAAAAAGCGGTCAATACTATGATTCTTACAAACACGTCTGTCAAAGCATGGCTTGCTAATTATAAAAAGAAGAAAACTAATAAAAAAAAATTTACTAATGGTAAGTAAAAAAGAATTAATAAAATCAAATCTTGCTATGAAAAAACCTTCTATAGTCTTAAATTCATCTGAAGATGAAGAGTATCTGTGCATCTATTGTTTTGAATCATTTTCCAACAGCCGATCGAGAGAACAGTGGATTCAATGTCAGGTTTGCCAAAAATGGCCTCATGAAGAATGCACACCAGGCTTACAACAGTTTATTTGTGAATTGTGTTCTTTATCCAATAATTTTTAAAAAACCAAACCTAAAAACATTTATAGTGATAAACTAAACTTGTTAATTGTGTTATATTTAAAATATATATATTTCAGTTTATAGTATTTTATTTTTATTTTTCTTAGTAAAACATAAACGAAATTAATTTGTACTCGTTTTACATTAAATTCTTATCTAATCTTGTCAAAATCCAAATGTGACAATCAACCCCGCACCATGTGACAACCTACCCCGTGAGCGGGGCTAGTTGTCACACAGAAGCGGTCTTTGAAAAATGATTTTACAGCAATAAATATTTCACTCAATGTCATAAAAATATTATAATAGTTACTGGAAATAGTTAAACTAGCTTTGTACAAAGTTTGGCATTGATTGGATGAAAATTAAAAGCTGAGCAGCCTAAAATGTAAAAAGTGTGACAACCAACCCCGCTCTCCCCTATTCTTTATTGTTTATTATTAAATTATAGGTAATATTATATGCATTTGTATTAATTATAAAACTCCTCTAGCGCTGTTTGTTTGTTTTTGTTATTATAAATGTTTCCTCGTTTTAGAGATGTAATTTTTATTGAATTTAAAGTTATTAAATAAGTAATATTATTTTCTGGTAATATTATTTTCTGGTAGTTCAACTTATTTTCAATACATTTTCCTGATTCGGGTATTTATTTTTGACTGTAAAATGAATGAAGATTTTCACTGTTGTTCACTTGAATTAGAACTTTCACAAGGTAAGATCTCTTAAGTAAGGTTGAGGAATCTTGTAATGAGAGTGCTGATTAAAAAATGTGTATTTAACTTTTGTAAGAAACAATGATGGCAGTGGACTCTACTCTTTCTGTTTAAAAGCATTTTTTTGCCACATATGCTGATGTTTGACAAAAATTAAAGAGCATGAAATGTTGCACACATTGCATTATGTTGTAACTTGCTCAGGAACCATGGAAAATAACTTTGAAGGTAGGCAAATTAATTTAAGGAGCTAAACTGTGCTAAATCATAAATTACAAATGTTAAAATTCTTCCATTTATATTTGCTTGAAAAATTGTAATGAGTTATATTTTTATTATTATGTAGAATTATTTTAAAAAAATAAACATAAAGCGTTTTATGAGGACAAGGAATTCCATACACTGGAGTACCATTTATTGTATCAGCATTTGTATTAATTATAAAACTCCTCTAGCGTTTTATAAACTCCTCTAGCGTATAAAACTCCTCTAGCATTTGTATTAATTATAAAACTCCTCTAGCCTTAACAAAACTTGACTGTCAACATGGAAAAGACAGAAATATTAAAGCAAAAGCACAATACAGACAAATGAAAAATAAAAAAGCTGTATGTACAAAAATAAATTTCAATTTAGTTCTAAGTATAAATAATTTTTAAAAGAATAATTTAAAGAAATCTTGTTTTGGATTTATTAATATTGTTTTATATTGCAATTTTTAACATGTGTTTTGTCAATTAGTTAATAAACAATGTGAATTTTGTTTAATTTTTTTTTTCTTAATGCATAGAGTACCGATCATTACAGTCAAAAAAAGTAGGGTTATTCTTGAGGATACTAAAAAGTTTGATTGTCCTGCCATTGTGTATATAAAAGAAATTATAGAGTTTCAAGAGTTTAAGGTGCCCCAAGAAGTCCTCACGGTCTTATCATAGAGCACCGCGGAAGAACATTTAATAGGAAGTTCACGCCTCCTTCCCAACCAATGTCGCAAAACTTGCCCAGAGGTGGGGTTTGAACCAGGGATCTTACGTTTCTGAGGCAAGTGCGCTACCACTGCGCCACGGCTGCTTTATTTTCATTTTCGTTCATCATTAAGGAGGTTCTTATTAAGTTTTGCATACTATTTACTCAGGGTTACCAAATTGGCCTCTTCATAACCAAATCCGTAAATCTGACAGTGCAAAAAATAATCTGCTGATTGCCAACATGACTTTGTTTGGCTTTTTTGTTCCAATATTTTAAATTTTAAATTGGCTTAGGATTTTAATTTTATTAAGCGTAAACTAATATTTTTTCAAATTTTTATAATATTATTGCCATTAATGCATATTTCATTTATAAATTTTAACATGAAATTAAATTTACATAAAGAGATTTTTTACTTAAAACTTTGAATGCAAGTTTCTCAATTTAAACACAGTGTCGTATTAGACACTTGTATTCCGGGCTGACGATATATATATATATATATATATATATATATATATATATATATATATATATATATATATATATACATACACACACACACACACATATATATATACATATATATATATATATATATATATATATATATATATATATATATATATAAACACACACACACACACACAATAACAGAAACAAATAGCTAATTTGTTTCCAGACTATTTCTTGTAACTATGCACTAAAGAAAAACAAACATGCAAACGTGGCAAAGAATTTGGCCGAAAAAATACGTTTCCGTTAAAGCCAGAATTATGTAAACTAAGCATTGTATATCTAAACTTTGTATAATACATGAATTCTTCGATTAATTTTTTTAATGTTTCAAAATTATTTACTTTAAATTTTTTAGAATAAAAAGTGAAAATTTTTTAATGAAAGATATTATTTAAAAATGGGAGGTTTGAAATGATTATTGAAATCATTTAAAGATTTTTTGATAGACATGTACGATTTATTAGCATAATCTTATTATTATGAATTATTGTATGGAAAAAGCGTTTGGTTTGTGAAAGTCAGAAGACTGTATTGTTTGTGAAAATGAAAATCGATTAAGTCGGATAAAGATTGGTTTTGTCTATTATCCGAATAGCAAAAGAAATTTGAAGTAAAAAACAAAATACAACACGTGGTTGGCTTGAATTTAAACTAAAATGTGCTAAAATTACAGGTTTTTTCAACATTTTATTAAATAATAATTACAAGATATCTATGTTAGCTTATTAGAGTAATATTACACACCATTTAATCTTAATCAAATCTTACTTAATACATTAGTTAATTGTACTAATTATCAGGACTCCTACGATACGGGTCATTGCAATTCTGTTCCACACCTGACTATTTCTAAACTTGTTTTTAAATTAAAGGACGATACTTCAATTAATTAAAGGAATAAGTTAAAGGAAAACAATAGCAATAACTTAAAGGAAAAAATAATAGATTACAAGTTCTTGGCTTTTGTTTAACAATCAAATTACTATTCTTTAAAAATATACTTATTTCAATACTTTTTACATAATAAAAGTATGTATAGAAAACAGTTGCGCAAAATTTCAGTAGGTGTTTTTGGAAACTTAAAGCTATAATGAAATTTGAACCCTCTTATTTAATTTTATTGAAAGAACAAAAATTGACACGGCCAAAGGAAGCGAATTATGTCAAACAAGTTAGCTTTATCTGTTTAACATTTTTTTATAGAAGCTTTCTAGTAAAAAAACATTTAACGAATTCATTTAATTAGGCTGTTTTCATTGCTATGTTTGGCAATTAAATTATTATACCAGATGGTTGCGCCGAAAATTAATACTTTATGCAAATGGAACCCGTCTAGATCGTATTTAGCAAAGGTGATAAAAGTATAAATGGTTTCCATTCACATGTGAGAATATAACCGAAATGTAAAAAAACAAAATAGGCTCATATATATCCATACAAAATAATATTTCCAAAAAGAAAAAATATAAAAATCTAATTGAAAAACAAAAAACATATTTTTCTCGATATAAAATAAAGGTATAAACTTAAAAAAATATTACAAAAAAATATTCAACAAATATCAAAAGTACTTGTAAAAGCAATTTAAATTATTTCATTATTATATAGCATTTAGTAAATGGTATGAAAATTATCGAAACAATCAACATTCAGAAAATTTCTTAAATTCTGCTATGTAGGAACTTTCAAAAATCAGTTATAAGAGAAAGAAATCGACCTAAAAATGGAACAAAATTATTAATTGAATAAATTTATCACAAATTATTTTGTTATGTACTATTAATATTTGTTAGGTACAAATAACAAATAGTAATAGTACATAACAAATTAATGTGTGATAAATGTATTTAATTAATAAAAAAACAGATAACAAATAACAAACATACTATGTGAAGTAGTTTTTCTTTTGTAAAAGTTTCAAGATTTATTGTTGCAAGTTTGGATTAACTCTTTTTAAAAAAGAAAAGGCTAAAATAAACAATCACAATAAGATAAACATCTCTGCTTTTATTTGAAATCGGAACCCTTGGCATTTAGTGAATGATTATATGCAGTCAGTTTAAGTAATACAACTTCCCAATAATCATTTTCAACTATAGACACTGAGGTAAAGGTAAGCCAAGTCATCTATTAACACAAAACAACACAATAACATCACAATATTAACAAATATCATAACACATTACGGTTAACTCTCAATAACTTAAACCTCCAAGGGACTGAAAAATTTGCTTATTAGAGAAGAGAGCTATTGGGAGTTATATCCATAAATAAAGGCTCAATTGGAATTTTAAAATTAGTTTAAGTTATCAAGGGTTATCGAGTTTATTGTACATATTTTAACTACGACCAGCACACACACGGAAATACTTACAAAATATAAACCCATATAATTATATATAACATAATAAAAATGCACATTGCTACATCATATGACACATAAGAATACTCAAAAACTATAAATTAAGAATATTTACAAACACAACATTTATTCAACAACATACCTTGTAATGCATTTTTTACCAAATTTAAAAACAATTATCAAATAACTTGGTTCAGGAACATGCTACATAGAATTGGTTGTGTGAAAACCAAGGCTTGTTGTGTGAATGCCAACTTTACCACACACACACACACACACACACACACACACACACACACACACAGATATATATATATATATATATATATATATATATATATATATATATATATATATATATATATATATATATATATATATATATACTGGGAAGATACAACTAACAGAAAATCTACTAATAAAAATAAAATAAAACAATAAAAACAATCAATCAAATTTAATAAGTCAAGTATAAGTGAGAACGAGAACTTTCTTCTTATAACATATAAGTAGCTGCAGCTACATAAAAAAATATCAAAATTACAATAAAAGCAATCAATCAATGCAATAAGTCAAGTATAAACGAGTACAACAATTAACTTATTGTACTCATTTATACTTGACTTATTACATTGATTAATTGAATTGGAAAAAGCATCTGTAGCTAAATTGTAATTAAATGACATTCCTTGTAATGAGTTTTCATCAATTTTAAAAAATAAGCTATTAAACAATCTGGTTCTTAAACATGCAACATAATGTTGACTGTGTGAGAAGGAAAGGTTTTTGAAATAAATACCAACTTTATCAAAAGTTTGACCTTCATCAGTTTGATCTTTGTAAAGAGCATCAACTTTGAGTTCTTTAAAATAAAAAACACAGATTAATATACCTTTGAAAAGAGAATAGTCTTTGAGTTCCTAAAAATAAAAAATACAGATCAATTAACTTTAAATACAATTGACAAAGGACTTGAATTGTTTTGTTATTGAAATGCATGAATTAAATAAATTACCTGACTTTAAAAGTTATTTTACTAATTTAAAAATAACATAACAAGGTTTATCTATTACTACAGAATTTTAATTTACCAAATTATTATCTAATAAAAAGGCTTTAGATCTTACAACCATAGATCATCGAGACCATATTTTAAAAATCCGGAAAATTGTTTGCATAAAATATCCGGAAAAAATCCAAAATATATTTCACTCTTAATTTTGATTTTAACTGAATTGTTTCTAATTTTTTTCTAACTTTTCTTAGTTTTGTATGAATGATGAGTGAAAAAAGCTCAAAAAAGAAGAATATTACAAAAATATACATCTAAACTTGTATGTATGGAAAACGTTTTCGAAATCCGGAAAAAATAAAAGTTGAGATAAATATCCGAAATCTAGGAAATATCCAGAAAAAGATAATCCTTGCTTACAACTGATTATGCAGATATTAACCAATTATGACAAAGATTAAAGCATACCTTATCGCAAGCTAAAAAATATAAAAAAAAATAATATAAGGCCAACAGCACTAAATCTTTAAAAAACTGTGTCAAACACGCACAAATGGGTAATATCAGTGGGTAACAGCCCACGGGTAATAATTTGGAACCCTCGTCTTTTTAAAGTTATAACTTGCATAGAAAAAGTTCAAAAATTGTCTGTCAAAGATGTTATAGCACATACACTGAGTACTTATCAAGACTTACTGTCTTCCAACTTAAATCTCTTGAATATCGCAAAATTGAATTTGATCTTTATATGACTTATAAAATTGTACATTATCTTGTAGATTTACCTTTTTCAGATCTTTTTACTTTTTCCAACTTAAAATATTTTACTAAAAGTCATTCACAAAAGTTAACTCCATCCAATAAATACATTAATGATACTAGAAGTTATTTTAAGCGAAAGAATCATTAAAAAATCATTTTTGTTTTCATAATAACTTAAAACTAAACATAAAAGATTACTTATTTCATTTTTAAGTTCTTTAGAGTCAAAGACAAAATCAAAAACTCTATTGTGTTAGGGTTATTCTTCATTAAAAAATTTTTATGTATATAGTATATACATAGTTATAAAATTTACAAATAAATTGATAAATATTAGTCTCTAAAATATATCTTTATTTTTTATATCTTAATATTTTTTTTAAGTCTCGGATCTGCATGCAGCCATATGACATTGTTATTTAAAATATAGGCATGTTTTCAAACTAAACCCAATAAGACTCTTGCTTCTAGTAGACTCTGTCAATGGTATCAAGTAGGAGAAAGGCTAAAACATCGTCATTGCAAAATATATCCCTTAATAGTAATGATATACCATGTTAAATTACATCAGCATGTTAAATTACATCATTATTAAAAAACTATTCTGCCATTGCAGAACAATACATTGAAAATTCAAGTCTAGATAAAGTTGGAGAATTCCAAAATGTTATGCGAGAATGTAATATAAATATTATATCAAGAACTCTTAAATATCTTGGAAGCATCTTATGATGAGACAGAATGGTACATTGACATTAGGGTGGGTCGTACTTTTAAAATTTTGGATATGGGAGCGCACGCAATAATTTTTTTATGTATTAGGATATTAGAAGAGACGTGAATAATTTTTTCTTAAAAAGTTTATCTAGTGTGGGCGCAGGGCGTTTAAAAAATGTCAGTTTTAGGAAAAACTTATCATATTGGCATTTTTCAGCCTTTTTTATATTAGCCAAAGATAAGGCAATTATCAAAAAACAATCAGACATAACATAGACATAAAAGTAAAACAATATTTGGTGCTACTTTTCTTAATACTATACAAACATGATAGACATGAAAAGTTGTCTACCATTATGGATTTTACAAAAAAATACCTATATATAAATGTTAGAAATGGGACTGCGCGCAATATTCTTTTTATGTATTAGGATATTAGAAAAGACGTGAATAACTTATTTTTTCTTAAAAAGTTCATCTTATGTGGGCGCAGGGCGTTTAAAAAATGTCAGTTTTACAAAAAACGCATCAAATTAGCACTTTTCTGCCTTTTTTCATAAGCCTATGGTGATACAATCATCAAAAAACAACAAGGCATAATATAGACATTAAAATAAAACATAACTTTATGTGCTACTGTTCATAAAGTCATACAAAAACGTATTCATATGTATACCGTGTTTGCTTTAGGATATTAGAAGAGGAAAAAAATTTATTTGCTCTATAGATAATAAATTTTTATTTATTTATTTTTTTTTTTTTTTATATAAATAAGATTTTTTTATATAAATAAGATAGCTCCTACAATAATTTACAAACTTTCTGAAGGATTAAAAATTTATTGCTCCTAAATAAAATGTTATCTAAAAGATACAATATATTTAAAGCTCAAATTATTTATTGAGATCATAAATAAAATCCAAAGCAAAACAACAAAAAAATTCATATTGCTTAAATTAATTTAAATAGATCTTTTTTTGATTTGTTTACGGGCGTGATTTCTCGATGTGCTAATGTTGCTCTGATGAACCCATGTCTTCTATCTTTTCCAAACACCGATTGAGAAGCTCTTGTGACTACTTGGACACATCGTTCAATAGCCTGCCCATGAACAGGAAAACAAGGTACACACATCGGAATATCATAGTATTTTTAAAGTTCATCCTTTGACAAGAAACATGTAAGTAAAGGTTTGCGTACATCCAAACTCCAATCAATTAGATCAAAAAGTGATTCACCATTTTTATTATGAATATGATGCTTTCTACTTCTTACATTAGTGTTTCTGTATTTTAAATCTTCTTATAATTTTAAAATTGTTTTAACAACAAATTGTCCTTCTGCTTTTTCTAGACTACACAACAATGCTTGAAGAACATTTTCACTATGAGCATTCCATGAAGAAGATAAAACATAGGGCATTACAATGTTTTTAACTTTAAGTCTTTGATAAGAAAGAAGTTTTAACTGCTTGAGTATATGGTTAGGCCCTTCAGTCCACTTCCACTTTACTTTGATTTCAAACCAAAGTGGCGCATAAACTTCAACAATAAACTCCACCAGAAGTTGAAGATTATATGTTTCTTCACTGAAACTGAAAGTTCAATTTCGGAGCACCAAAGTAAACATATTCTATTTGCAAAATTCAACCATCTTGCATGCGAATGTGGCCCAATTTCTTTACCTTTAAGATTTTCTAGAAAAACTCCAGCGTTAAATGCATGGGTAATGTGATAAAGATACTTTTGATCATCTGATAGCGATTGAACAACTTCAGAGTCAAGTTCTATTATTGCATTAGGAAATTTAATTTTTTTAATGCTATCTTTGACTTTGAAGTTTGTTACCTTACCTATAAGTTTTCCAATAGAACCAAAAAAGTTATTTTTAGATGCAGTTTTTCCATCAAGCTGAATCATAAGATGTCGGAGAGGTAGCTCATTTTTATGAAGAGCACAAATTATCCACATAAGTTTTTTATCCAATTTATGTTCAAGGTAATGGATAACACCTCCTTTCCAACCAGTGTTTAAATTTGTTGAGTCCGCACCAATGGCAACTAAATAGTCTCTAACATCATGATTCATAATCCATTCGTAAAGATTATCAGCTATTTGCTCAGCTGCAGTCTCTACTCTTTCTTCAGAATTGTTAGTGAAATAAAATTGGTATTTTCCTCCAGGTTCAGAACAAACTGAATAATGTTCTTTTTTTTCCGATCAATGTAATTTTCCATCTTCTTCTCTCATGTACTTAGTTAAATCTTTTCGTCCATCAAAAAATATAGATTGAATATTATCACTCATTGCTACTTTTCCAGCTCTACCTTGAATTTCTTTCATTAACTTAGTCTTACTTCCTTATATAAATATCAGTATTTTTCTTTAAAAAATATGCATCTTTTGCAGAAGCTAAAGTAGCAGTAGCTATGGCTGCAGCAGCTCTATTAGATACCCTATACCTAATAGCGGCTTGAGAAACCCTGGTAATATCTAAGTAATTTTTTTTCAAACTGAAGTCAGCTTTTTCTGTATCATTTGCTTTTTTGTTGCCAATGTCCGAATTGTTTGTAGTTTGAAATTCTACTGCTAAAGGAGAAAATAAATTATGTTAAACAATTTTAATCAAAATAATTTATATTCAATTTATACTCAATTTTTTAATATTTTAGCATTTACCTATATCCTCACTATTTGCTCCAGGTATTTTAGAGTCTGATTCTTTTCGATCCAAATATCTTGTTAACCGATATATCAACTAATCCTATTTGTAGAGAACTTTTGTTATCAATTTTATTTCTTTGAGGTTGTAGGAAAAATAGTTCTTGCAAAGGTATCTTTGTTACTTTTGGACATATGCAAGTTACATGAGCTTTAAAAAGACAACAATTGCATCCATTTTCATTACAGCATAAGATTTTACACTTACATTTTGTCAAGTCAAATAGCTTATTATGTTTGTCCATACACATATTTCTTTTTTTCGTAGTTCTCAATTTTCCAATGTCCTTTGCAATTTTCCATTCAAGGACAAGTTTATTGACTGCATATTATTCTGAGACCATCGGAATTGTAGAATTTGCTGACATCCAAATATATTTTATTTTAATAAATATTTGTATACACATACATCTTGTATCCAAATGTGTAACTGATCTATCATGCAACAAAATTTCATATTGTAAGATTGTTTACATGCAACAAAATTCCATATTGTAAGATTGTTTACAATATGGAATTTTGTTGCGTGATAGATCAGTTACACATTTGGATACAAGATGTATGTGTATACAAATATTTATTAAAATAAAATGTATTTGGATGTCAGCAAATTCTAAAATCCCGATGGTCTCAGAAAAATATGCAGTCGATAAACTTGTCCTTGAATGGAAAATTGCAAAGGCAGTTCTTCTCAGCGTAGGCAGCTCTGATAAACAAAGTTCGAGTCCATTACCCAATAGCTCATGCAATTTAGGGCATTTTAATATTGTTTGAGCTCGAGTAGATTTAGTCATTTATCACAATAAAATTGATGTTATATTTGATTAAAAATATTAGTAGCTTTTTGTAGTAGGTAAAAAGACTACCTTTATATATATGTTATAAATTTGTTAATCACACCATTTTTATAACAATACTTAGGATGTCAAAGTGATCATAAATAAATAGAACATGTTTAAAACGCAAATCATCAGGAAACTATTATCTTAGTAATTATCCTACAAATAAATTGGAACTTTATAACAAATAAAAAATCGTACTATGACGAATATGATTCACCTCATTTTATACATTATGTGCATTGAAAATAACAATAATAAGTTAATACAAATTTTTTTTAGATTTTTTCGAAAAAACTGATATTTTTTAAACGCCCTGCGCCCACAAAAGATGAACTTTTTAAGAAAAAATAAATTATTCACGTCTTTTTTAATATCCTAATACATAAAAAAAATACTGCGCGCCATCCCATTTCTAACATTTATATATAGATATTTTTTTTGTAAAATCCATAATGGTAGACATTTTTTCATACATCTACCGTATTTGTATAGCATTAAGAAAAGTAGCACCGAATATTGTTTTATTTTTATGTCTATGTTATTTCTGATTGTTTTTTGATAATTGCCTTACCTTTGGCTAATATAAAAAAGGCCGAAAAATACCAATATGATGAGTTTTTCGTAAAACTGACATTTTTCAAACACCCTGCACTAGATGTGCACTGCGCACTGCGCCCACACTAGATGAACTTTTGAAGAAAAAAAAATTATTCATGTCTCTTCTAATATCCTTATACATAAAAAAATTATTGCGCGCGCTCCCACATCCAAAATTTTAAAAGTACGACCCACCCTAAATTGACATAATATGAGACAGAAGAAAATCTATATCCAGGTCCTTTTATAAGTCTGTTTGGTTATAAAGCAATCAATTTAGATGATTCTATTCTAAAAGAGAGATGTATTTTTAAATGCAAAGAATACAAACCAACTTACACCTCAAGTTCGATTATAGCCTCTAATTTTATGAACATAGGCATTTTGAATATAACAACTCAAGTAACTTATTACTTAATAATTTAATGTGTTGAACCAAAGCGCCTAATACACCTTCTTTAACTTGAGAAGGCAGAGAAGTAGAATGTAAAGAATACTATCAAACCATTATTAAAGAAAAATACAATACTTTTCAAGTGACAACAACTTAAGGTCTTCACATTTTACACAATAAGCTATTTTTCGGTGCTTCACTTGACATTATAGTAAGCTGTTGTTGCCAGAGTGTTGGTTTGCTAGAAATAAAGTGTTTATTCAATTATTAAAATAGTTCAGTGAACTAGGAAAAGGAAAAAAACTTCCCTATAGATTCATCTGGAAATTGAAGAAAAATAATAAATAATATGTACAAGTACAAGGTCAACAATATGTTCTAAATAAGAAAAATGTTACTTTTTTTTTTTGGGCTTCAAATCATTATTTATTAATTTAAGTTACAAGAGATAATTCATATAGTGTTTACTTCCTAATGCTATTACACTCAAAAATGATGCATGTCTAGACAATAAACAAAAGAATTACTGTATTTGTAAAAGACCCTAATTTGAATCAATGAAAACATGTGATAAACCAGGTTGTAAAGTTGAATGGTTTAAATTAATATTTTATGAAAGTTACACGGGCTCCAAATGGTTTCTGCAGCAGTTGCTCAAAATAAAAATATGTTTAATAAGATTCTTCTGTCTACACAGTTTATTATATAGAAAATAATCATTATGAATAATAATTAATATAATTTCTAAACAATAAAGTTATTTTAGGCCACTTAACTGTAGATTTACCAAACAAAAGTTGAAATATTATGGTGAAAAACTATAAATTCTGCTTTGTATATAAAGATACATAAAACTGTTAGACATATTGCTGAATAACTTTCAGATAAGCATAAATAAAGTTTTCATGAAAATAAGCAAATCACATTGCTACTTAAAGTTTTTTTCTACTATACTATATTTATACTTTTTTTTACTACTACGAACTGAACAAAGATATCTAGTCAGGTAGGTTACAACAAATGCAAAATTCAAAATACCACTTCTTTTTAGTGGTACTTCCAATAAAATATTTTATTGGATATTTTATACAGATAATTTGTATAATAAATTTTATATAATAAAACTGATTGTTTTTTTGGTAATATTGATTGCATGTTTATGTTTTTGGTTGGCTTTTTAGAATATCCTTTAAATTATTAACTTTAAATAAAGATGAAACTAAAAGTAATGCAACAATGATGATAAAGAAAGGTAACTATAATTCAATTTTTTTTTAATTCTGATTCACTCCCAACAAGGCTGCAGGCAACCACTATTATGTTGGGAATTACTAGGAAAAAAGTTACAGAGCAAGGAAATGGTTGACAGAAGACTTGAATGAGTCAGGAAAATATGAAGGTTGAATGAGTCAGGAAAATATGAAGATAGGAGAGAGTTCCAATGGGTTGAAGTGCGAGGAAAAAAACTAAGAGATTTTTGTAGCATGCAGGGATAAATACAGTAAAAGAATGAGACGTTGATGAATTACAAGTCAAGTGAAAATGAGTTTTAGTTGATGGAAATAGAGATGATAGCTCCTTTGAGCAGTGACCATGGTAGTATTTGTAGAAAAGAGATGCAATTTTATGATGATGGGTCAGAGGCTCAAGCATAGTAGATAGACAGGGGCCAAATACTAGGGCAAGAGCCCTAACCTCTCTGCTTCTATCACAGCAGTTCGCAAGTCAGCATACAGTGAGAGGATCAAAAACCTTATTGATTGTCAGCTGAAAAAGTCATGCATTTAAAAATCTTGTACTTTTTTAAATTCAATTTAAAATCAAATTTTTTACATAATTTTGCTATCATTACTTTATTTAACTTATTTGTGATTATGAAGTATGAAATGAAGTAATAATAATGTATTAATGTAGTTTTTTAGTTTAAAATTTTGTTTTATAGATTAATGGCAAACAAAGTTTAGTTTGACTGCTGCACACAAATTTTAAAATAACTAGATATAATGCAAATGAAATAAAAAAATATTGTTACTCAGACTTTTAATATTTATTGTTATATATATATATATATATATATATATATATATATATATATATATATATATATATATACATATATATATATATATATATATATATATATATATATATATATATATATATATATATATATATATAAATTATAACTCTACATTTAAATAAGAAACTGACATGCACTATTGCTGGATGTAATAATGTAATTCCTATAATGTGTGTGTGTGTCTATATATATATATATATATATATATATATATATATATATATATATATATATATATATATATATATATATATATATATATATATATATATATAAATTATAACTCTACATTTAAATAAGAAACTGACATGCACTATTGCTGGATGTAATAATGTAATTCCTATAATGTGTGTGTGTGTCTATATATATATATATATATATATATATATATATATATATATATATATATATATATATATATATATATATATATATATATATATATATATATATATATATATATATATATATATATATATATATATATATATATATATATATATATATATATATTATATATATATATATATATATATATACATATATATATATATATATATATATATATATATATATGTGTGTATATATATATGTATATATATATATATATATATATATTAAGTGTGTGTGTGTATATATATATATATATATATATACACATATATATACATATATATATATATATATATATATATATATATATATATATATATATATATATATATATATATATATATATATATATATAAATTCTCATTTAGTGGTTGAATTTTAAATAATACATTTATAACTAAAATGAATAGTAAATTGCATTGGATCATTATTTTAAATACTTTGGTTGCAGTGTGTTCACTGGAAATCTTTTCATCATTTGCTTATATTGCAATTGCAGCTTTTAGTTATTTAATTCCTGGTAAATGTATAACTAATTTATTTTAAATTGTTATTATCTAGTTATGAAATATCAATTTTTAAATTATTTTTTCTAGTAAATTTTTAATGTATTTTTAATTAGGATTAAAGCAGAAATGCAAAATAGAGGTGTACTGTATATTTTTGCCGGATATGCCGGATATTGAACTTTTTTCAAGTTCTATGAGTGTTTATAGAAAAAAAAAAAAAATTTAAAAACAAGTTTTGCTATTCTACATTAAATAATGTTCAAGATTTAAAAAAATAAAATTAATAAAAGACTGGTATAACACAGGTATATGCGTTAATGTTTAAAAAAAAATCGTTTTTTACAGCTAAATTTTAGTTACTATTTTCTATACTTCGTCAGTACATACACCATGTCATACAGTTTTTCACTAATTTTTATAAGTAAGATCTTGAATACTATTTATTGTAGACTGGCAAAAAAAAAATTTTTCTTTATAAACACTTATAGAACCTTAGAAAAGTTTACTATCCGGCATATCCAGCAAAAATATCCGGTACGCCTCTAATGCAAAAGAAAGAAGTGTTTTCTGCTTGGTTTTTATAACTTTTTATTTATAAGCTATGTTTATTCTTTTAAAAATTATTTCAACTAAATGGATAATACACAGAAAACAATGAATTTACTTTTTTCTGTCAATTACTTTAGTAAAACAAATTTTATTTTACATTCTTTTGAATGCTATTTTTATATGGGTTAATGTTTTATATTTCAACCAATTTAAAGAAAACTTTGTGGGGCACCATTTAAGATTTTACTGATTTTTACATTTTATTATATGCATTATTTAGATTAGTTAAATTTGAAATTTCAGACTTGCAAGTGCAAAGGTGTAGAAATTATAGCTTTAAAATCATATATCGTCGGGGATAGCGCAAATCCGCGTAACTAGCATTGGCTACTATATTTTTATATTATTTATTTTAACACCAAATACTTATTGTTGAGATTACAAAAAATACCAATAATACTCTTTATACTGAAATGTGTAAAATTGTAAACATAGTTGAACCTGCACTTGCAGCCAACCTTCAACCTCTGTCACATCGTCGTAATGTTGCTTCTCTTTCTCTTTTCTACAAATACTATAATGGGCACTGCTCTAAAGAGCAAGCGTTTCTTGTTCAATTAAGTCTCATCTTTTTTCTGTGACTTTTCCTAAGTGCTCCAAAAACTCTTATTCGTCTAGTTTTTTTCCTCAAACATCAGTTCTTTGGAATTCACTTCCTTCATCTTGCTTTCCTGATTTATATAATTTGCAATCTTTTAAGTCGTCTGTCAATTGCTATCTTGCTCTACAATCTTCATCTTTTCTCTTCCAGTAACTTCCAACACTACATAGTGGTTGATTGCAGCCTTGTTGGAAGCGAAGATGTTAAAAAAAAAAAAAAAAATGAACTCAAAATCAGAAAATAAAAAATATATAAAGTTTTAAACTTCTCTTGTAAAAAATATGTACTATAGATAGCCATTCCAGACGATTTTTTTATAATTCAAATAAGCATATAAAATTTATATCATTGTATAGAGCTTGAAACTTTGGAGCGGATCCAAAGTTATTAAATTTTATGTAGTGAAAAAATGAATGATTTTTTGATGAAATAGGGCTAGGGAAATAGGGTATAGGGCTTAAGTATGGAAAATTTGCAGGGCTTTTGATGAAATAGGGCTAGGGAAATAGGGTATAGGGCTTAAGTATGGAAAATTTGCAGTGTTATGGCACCGAAAAAGAGAGTATTTTTGGATCATATTCACTTTTGAATAACTTTTGAACCGCTATCACATTTGACTTGGAATTTTTTATAGTGATTCAGCAACTATAAGAAAATAAAGTACAAAAAAATTTTTTTTTTCAATTCTGTCGGGATTGTCCACAATCATCTATTTTACAGACTAAAGGTTTTTACTTATTTACTTAGTTTTGGTGTCATATTGACTCTTGAATAACTTTTGAACCATTATTACATTTGACTTGAAATTTTCCATTGTGATTCCACAACTATAAAAAAATAAAATACCAAAAAAAAAAAATTTTAATGTGTCGGGATTACCCAGAATCATCTATGTTACAGACTGAGGGTTTTATCTAACTTAATTAGTTTTGGTGTCATATTGACTTTTGCATAACCTTTGAACCATTATTGAATTTGACTTGTTATTCTCCATGGTGATCCACTAACTATTAGAAAATAAAATACCAACTTTTTTTTTTTTTAATCTGATAAGATTGACCAGAAACATCTATTTTACAGACTGAGGATTTTCACTTATTTACTTTTGGTAAACAAAAGTTTGGATTATATTGTAATTACAACATGCAAATATGAATAAAGGAATCATGGAATCCAAATAGTACATCATTTTGAAATTATTGTATAATTTACAGACCGGTCAGTAAATTACTCTGAAAGGGCTGCACAAACCAATTGGGCATATCAACTTTGAATATATTTGATATTTTTGAAACGTTATTACATTAGAGTCGAAATTTTTCATAATGATCCAATTTTTTTTTTAATCTGACAAGATTGACCAGAAACATCTATTTTACAGATTGAGGATTTTCACTTATTTAATTTTGGTAAACAAAAGTTTGGATTATATTGTAATTACAACATGCAAATATGAATAAAGGGAATATGGAATCCAAACAGTACATTATTTTCAAATTAATGTATAATTTACAGACCGGTCAGTAAATTACTCAAAAAGGGCTGCACAAACCAATTGGGCATATCAACTTTATTTTTTGGGCATATCAAAGATTCTTCAATAAAGTTAAAATTAAATTTTTATTGAAAATTACTCACAGCAAATGAATGTCCTGAAATTTGGATTACTTAGAACAACAATAACAGAGGAGTCTCTACCTAAAATTGTTACAAAAATATTATTAGAAACACAGATACGCAATGTGTTAAAAATATTTTGTTCATTTGTTTAAAAATAAAAAAAATTTAAACTAAATAAGTATAACATAAGAAACTTACTCTTTGAGATTGTTTATGTGAACTATTGACAACTCCTAAGATAAAAAAAATGAAAAAATGTTTTTATTCTAAACTTTTTCTTAAATCTATACTGCTTTGAAATGCTTATGTACAAAGCATTTCAAATTTAGTATTGGTATATTATATTATAAGTGCTCCAAAAATTCTTAATCATCTAGTTTTTTTCCTCAAACATCAGTTCTTTGGAATTCACTCCATTCATCTTGTTTTCCTAATTCATATAATATGCAATTTTTCAAGTCGTTTGTTAATTGTTATCTTGCGATATAAACTTCGCCTTGCTCTTCCAGTAATTTCCAATTCTAAAAGTGCAAAATAAAAAAATTAAGATATATATAAAAAAAAAATTTCAGGGAATATAACATTAGATTTTTTGAGCTCAGTTTTCTCTTTTAATGATGTTTTTACTGATGTTGTTGGTTTGTTACCTTTTGATGATAGTTCTACCCCTATTTTTATATACAACTGTAAACTGTTCTAAATCAAGTTACTATTTTGTATTTTCTGATTTAAAATTGCGAATCGCTAATGATAATTTTTTGTGCTGTTACTCCAAATTCTATTTTATACATCCCTTAAAGCAATGGTTCTGATAGTTTTCTTCTTGAAACACAAGTTAATGAAGAGAATCTTCCAGTTATTGATTCGGATAAAAAAAACTCCCTATATCTGGGCATTTGAGCTTGAAAAAGGATCTCACTTCTACAGCATGGGGCTCACAGTGGCTGGTGAAGTTTAATTCAGATAAAACTCAATTTTTTTCAGTCAATCGCTTATTTAGACCTTCCTATATTTATGAACAGTAATGTACTTGATTTAACTACCCTTCATCTTCTAGGATTAACTCTTACTTCTGATCTCTCTTAGAAACCATATATCAAATCCGTTATAAAATTAGCATCTGCTAAAGTTGCATCTCTTCATCGAGCTCAACATTTTCTTACTCTGGATTCTATTCCTTATCTCTATAAATCTTAAATCTGGCCTTGTATGGAATACTGTTGCCATATCTGGGGCAGATCTTCTAATGATGCCCTTTCTCTTTTAGACAAGGTGCAAAAATGCATTGAAAACATAGTTGGACCTGCTCTTGCAGCCAACCTTCAACCATCATCACATCGTCATAATGTTGCTTCTCTTTCTCTTTTCCACAAATACTATAATGGACACTGCTCTAAAGAGCTAGCGTCTATAGTGCCATCTACTAAAATTTATTCTTGTGTTACTCGTCATTCAATTAAGTCTCATCCTTTTTCTGTGACTGTTCCTAAGTGTTCCAAAAACGCAATGGGGCAGCATCATAACAACAGCTTAAACAAATGTGTTAAGTATTTACATTCCAAAAATGACTCTTTTATTCGAAAGTAAAATGAATTCTTTTTTTCAGCATTAAAATTTTCAATAAATGACTGAAAACCTCTTATTTTATCTTTTCGTAAACAGTAAAAACGTTAAAACCAAAGTTTTCACATTAGTTTTCACTCATAGCAATTTACTTCCATAATCTCTTTATAGCCCTTTGAATAAATTATTAAACAGAAACGTTTTCAGAAACGTTTCAGAAAAAAGCAAATACATTGCAGTAAAAAAATAGATGAGATGGACAACGGCAACTTAGAAAAGGAAATAAAGGAACAAAAGACAAGCAAAGAGAAAGAGTTTTTGACAACAGAAATCGGAAAGGATGGTGGTTTAATTTCGTGTGAAGAGGATTTGGAAAAAATTTTAGGTAATGGAAACGAAATTTAATGAGAATGTAAAAAAATTTCCTGAAAAGTGGTTACAATTTGGAGAAAAGAGAAAAGGGAATTTTACAAAAAGTTTGGTATAGAGGCATTAAAAACCAACCTGCTATCAATTTTTAAATTTTTAAAAAACGCTCCAGAACAAGCGTAACTGCAATAAAATGTTCAGTTATCACACAGAATAATGAAAGACAAGAAATTTTGTAACATTAAACAAAAAAATGTCAGATTAGAGGGTGACGCTAGGTTTTTAAGGAAAAATGGTAGAAAATAAGAACAGACCCTCGTGTTACGGGTTATTCAGTTAAGTCTCATTCTTTTACTGTGACTGCTCCTAAGTGCTTCATACATTCTTATTTGTCTATTTTTTTTTCATCAAACATCAATTCTTTGGAAATTAGCACCATTCATCTGGTTTTCCGATTCATATAATTTGCAATTTTTTAAGTTGTCTGTTAATCATTATCTTGCTCTTTAACATTTTCTTTTTCTTTTCCAGTAACTTCCAACTTTAATAGTGGTTGTTTCATTCAAATAAGTCTTGTCCTTTTACTGTGACTGTCTCTATGTGCTCTAAAAATTCTTGTTTGTGTGACTAATTATTCAGCATCTTTTTTAAATGTTTTTCATGGTCTAAATCTTTTTCTTTCTTTAACAAAACACAAATATACGTATAATGACATGCGCCTGCATCAACACTGTGCCAGAGGACCAACAGAACAGAACTTACATATAACGACTTACCGGTATTATCACATATAATTCCTGCCATTTCACAGTTGTAACAGAAAACAAGTGCACTTAGAGGTACATCAACACAACAATGGGTATGACTTACCTGTACCTAAATAACACTCTGTAGGTCCAACAGAAGACAAACGTACACATAATGAGTAACAGGTACTTAAACACAAACATACATTTAGTGACTTACGGGTGCGTCAACACCGCTCCAGAGGTCCAACAGAACACAAACATACACATAATGACTGACGGGTACATAAACACAAACATACATATAGTGACTTACGAGTGCGTCAACACCGCTCCAGAGGTCAAACAGAACACAAACATACACATGAGTGACAGGTACATACACACAAACATAGATATAATGACTTACAGGTGTGTCAACACCGCTCCAGAGGTCCAACAGAACACAAGCATACACATAATGAGTAACAGGTACATAAACACAAACATACATTTAGTGACTTAAGGGTGCATCAACACCGCTCCAGAGGTCCAACAGAACACAAACATACACATAATGACTGACGGGTACATAAAAACAAACATACATATAGTGACTTACAGGTGACTAAAAATAAACATACAAATAATTACTTACCGGTAGATCAACACCGCTACAGAGGCTCAACAGAAGACAAGTATACATATAATGATTTTCAGATGTACCTTCAAAAACATACATATAATGACTTAAAAATAGGTCAACACAAGGTTACATATATTGACGGTATGTCAGCATAATAATAGAAAGCATGACTTACCGGTATGTTCCTATGATGGCAGATGTCCAATAGAAAACAAATATACATATAAAGAATTGTGGGTGCGCCAACACCGCTCCAGATGACATAACAGAATACAAACATGAATACATTAAATTGAATAATAATAAAAATAATAACAACAATAATATTATTAATAATAATAATAAAAACAAACATAAATACAATAAATTAAATCATTAAATCAGCATTGTGTCAAAAGCAACATTAACAGCATTTTTGTTTTTTTCTAACTTCGCTCTCCACATAACCATCAGCTTTTTCCTCTACCACAACACATTTCATCCTCCACTCTTTGACCAACTTAATGTCATATTTATCTTGATATCCATCATATAGTATCTGAAACTCACAGTCTTCACCAAATTCATTTTCATCTAGAACACCAACCACGAGCCCCGAATACTATACATCCTTACCATTATTATCTATAATTTTATGTTTTATTCTTTTTCCTAAAAATTTTGGAACCCTTCCCTTTGATGTGCCTGTTTTTATTTTACTTCCAGTTTCCATTTATAATCTAGCATCACCCTCTCATCGGACATTTTGTTTTAATGTTAACAACATTTCTCGTCTTTCATTATTCTGTCTGATAACTGAACATTTTATTGTATTTGCGTGTTGTTCTGGAGCGTCTTTTAAAAATTGAAAAATTGATAGCAGGTTGGTGTTTAATGCCTCTATACCAAACTTTTTGTAATATTTCCCTTTTGCCTTTTCTCCTAATTGTAACCACTTTTCTGGAAATTTTTGTTGTAATACCTTTTTTTTTTGTCTTAATTTTTTTTGTTTTTAATTTCTAAATTTAATTTGTCTTTGCAACTTAATTACAATTTCATTTTCAGTTCCTGTAATTTTTTACAAATCCTCTTTACACAAAATTACACCATCCTTTCCGATTTCTGTTGTCAAAAACTCTTTCTCTTCGCTTGCAACCAAATGGTATGGTAAATTGGTCTCTTAACTGACTCTGAATCATAACCGAACATGTGTAACATATAACTTCAAAACATTCTTGTGTTAAGGCATCCAAGAGTGGGTCATTACAATTAGAAATTAAATGATCAAACACTTCATTCTTGGTGAAATATTTTACATCAAAAAATGTAGAACCACTTAACATTTTTGATGCATCAGAAGAACAAGAAACAAAATATTTAAACATTTGCAACCAAATGGTATGGTAAAGAGAAAATATGACCCTCCTCTCCAATAATACAAAAAAGAGGTCCTGATATCAATTTATTAAAAATTCCCAGAGCTCTAGTTGAAGGATGAAAAATGATGTTGTCAATATCATGCCTAATTGACTCATGAAGAAAATTTGAACCACCAAGATTAAAAACAAATTCTTTAAGGTGGTCTTTATGATAATACGTTGCTCCACCAAGTACAAATATAATATTAAAGCAATGATGCAGAAATAAAACCATAAAATTTTTTGAAAACCTTTTACGCAAAAATGCCTTCCATTCATCAGCTTTTCCATTTTGCTGATCACCATGCCGATAGCTTATAAGTTTTGAAAGTTCATACAAAATATCAAAGGTGCGAGAGTTTTGAGAACTTTTAAAACCACCATAAATACTACCTTCCTGCTCAACTACTTTTTCCCATTCTATTATCGCTTTTCTGCATATATTCCTAGATTGTGGATAATGTGTAAGCCACAAAAAACATGATGCATTTGAGAAATTTTTAATTTTTCATTTATAGGAAGCTGATCATAGTTTTCAACAACAAAAGGCAAAATTGCTTCTCTCCAATGTTTAAATTGGTGAAAAAAACTTGAATTAACAATAGTGAGATTTGTCATCAAAGATTTGAACGAAAAAATAAGTTTCCTAAGATCATTCTCGTAGTTTTCCTTGTCAGGAGAAAATATCTTAGACATATCAGTGAGTAAGTTTTTTGGCTCTCCAAAATAAGATTGTGCCTCTCCTGAAAACATATCTTCTATCCCAAACGTGTAGCTACCAGACAATGTTGTGACTTGAAAACTACCAACCTCTCTAAAATTATATTTTGTGCAATCTGTATAAAGAACATTGTTTGTACTATTCAACATAGCCTCTCTCACGTGAGCTTTTGCTAAAAGGTTCATTTCATTAAAAAATTCAGAAGCCAAAGATTTTTTTGGAAGTGTGCCACTGAAATTCCAGCCATTTTTTGTAGTACAGTTCTGATAACAGATTCAACATTATTAACAGAAACATTTTTACTTAAAAGGTCGTAATATACCGAGCGAACTTCATCATTATTTCTACCTCCTTCATAAACGTCAATTACATTTTTTTCAAAAATGTCAACTCTTTCCTTCAGCTCTTCTGTAAGATTTTCAAATTAATTCAAACTCTCCTTTAAGAATGAATCATTTGTTTTATCAGATGTTTTCCAAGTAGTGTTTTCAATTTTTTCTTTAAATACCAGGCCTTTTGTTTTCTAGCCAAATTAATTTCTTTTTCTAATCTTAAATTTATTTTCAACAATTGGATAATCTTACAATCTTTTCTAACGTCTCTTTTGTTGACATTTCGAATATTATATTTTGACAAGATTGCTTGATATTTTCTTTTATATTCATAACATCTTCTATTAATTTTTATATTTTGCGATGTAAGATGATTGATTCTCCGTTTATTTTTTTTTAATTACGCGATTTTTATTGTCATCAAAGTTAATTTATATTTGAATTAAATTTTTACATGAATGTATTTTATATAACTTGAAGTAATTTTTTCAAAAATTAATTCAAATATTGCTTTTTAAATGTACATAAATTGACTGAAAAGTAAGGATTGGTGCAATTGAATGTACATACACCGACTGACAAATAGGGATTGGCACAACTAAATGCACATACATCGACTGACAAACAGGGATTGGCGCGATTAAACGTACATGATTTGGGACATGGTTAGGGTTTGGGCAAGGGATAAATCAGAAAATGATGCGCTTAGCATTTTCAAACAGTTTTGCATTAAATTGTTGATAGAAACCAGGTTTTTTAAAACTATCTTCGATAAGAGTTTTAATTATAATCGAGAATTAAACCGAGAAAAAAATGGCGTTTTTTAGTGTAATTTTTTAAACTTCAACATCAAATTAGAGCTTTTTCTGTTGATTTTCAGAGCAATATTTTTGTATGATTCTTAATCAGCATAAAATTTCAGTTTTATTATTTATTTCAAAATAAATAATCAGCAATAAATAAAAAAAAGAGGGGGGGGGGGGAGGAAGAAACTGCGGTAGCGCCCAATTTTCTTCACATCTAATTTCTTTTCCTTCCAATGATCTAACTCTTTCTTTTCTGATCTCCACTTTCTCTTTATGTGCCCTATCTTTCCACATGTGTGACATTTTAAATAACGATAATTACAATTGTTTGCTTGATGACCCCTGAACCCGCAACAAAAACATTCTTTACTTTCTTCTGATTTTGTCAGAGTTTTTACTTTATGTAATTCATCCTGCTCTATAAAACTTTCTTTTGTACGTATAGCTTTGGTATCTTTATATGCTGTCTCATATGCACATGCTGTATCAAGTGTTGTCTCCAATGTTAGATTTTTTATGGTTAATAATTTTTGTTGCGCATTTTCATTATTTAATCCACAAACCTGTCACTTAAATAATCATTCAAGTTTTCACCAAACTCAGTGTTTAGATAGTCTAGGTAATTTAGTAATATACCCGCTTACAGATTCTTCGTCCTTTCTATCTCTTTTATAAAATTGAAAAAGTTGTGTAATGGAGTTTGATATTGATTTCAAATGGTCCTTCATTAGTTTAACTATTTGATTAAAACTCTTATTCTTGGTGTCATTTTCACATAAACTTCGGATAAGTTTATAAGCAGGTCCTCCTATGGTCAATAAAAATACAGCTTTTTGTTTTTCAGCATCCTTTATGTTGTTGGCCAGTAAAAAATTGTCAAATCTTTCAATATATAGGGATATGAGAATATTCTCACATCTCTATATAAAATATATATGCGAAATACGCATATTCGAATATGCCGTAAAAAACCTGTTCTAAAAATTGGACCGCATTTTTTTTGATTTGGTTAAAAGTAGAATCATGCCAAAATAGGCTGCATTGTTATTTGTGAACCAAATGAAATGAAATTTTGTATTTTTAAGCAAAAGAGTCAATGTATATTTCATTGTTTATTTATCATTTCATGTTTATTTTTAGAAAAAAATAATTGTGTAATTTTACGTTGTAAATTCTTGGAATTTTTCTATGAAACACTGTTAATAGAAAAATACGTGTATATAAAAATATGTTCATAGAAAGTTGACATGGGTCCTTCATAAAACTAAAGGTTCCTTTATATTATTTATTAAACTACTCATACAGAAAATTTAAAGTAAATCTGATGTGCCCATTCTGAATAAAGGTTACTCCAAGCAAACAAGGTATTGTTGTGAATATACAAATTTTTGAAGCGTTGTTACCCTGAGTCCGTCAGGGCTGTTTCACTCAATATAAAAGCGAGCTTGACGTCACAAGAATTTTTGTGTTTAAAAAAAAAAAGAATTTCCGCATAAAAAGTATAAAAATTAACAAACTTTAAATTAATAGTATTTTTTTTCTATAAATGCTTTCATCTTTGAATAAAAAAAGTATAAAAGAACAATCTTTCTTCGTTAAGTAAATATTTACGTTAAACGAAATCAAAATAAACATTTTAAAAATATTTTAAATGATTTTGGATCACTTTTCTGTTTTTGGCAATTTTCACGAAAAATCTGTTTTGGGCCAACCAAGATTCGCCAACATAGCTACATGGTTAATGGTTGAAATTTAGAACACTTATTAATGAATGTCTATTCTATCAGATTCCTATGTCATTCTAGTGATTTTTGTACTATAACTCAATTTTTAATGCATTTATACATTTAAATTTATTTATTTTAAATGTAAAATATAATTTTATTGACGTAAGTTATTGAAATTTCGACCTTTTATGCAGATGAAAATATAAAAATTATTTTATGTACCTTTTGCTATGCTAGCGAATATGTTTTCAAACTTGGCATGTTTAGCAACTTCTAGTTTTTCGCCTAAATTTTTGTTTACGTTATTAAAGCAATGACGTAAAACATTAAAACTTTATAACATTTTCTCTAATATTTTTTTGCGATTTTGTTTTATGACTTAATTATCTCTGTTTCAATTAACATAAAGTTTGAGTAGTATTTTTTTTGTTTTTATATTATTCTAATAATATTTATAACTTGTTAATAAATATTAGAAATATATGTTTTAAATTTTTTTGTTGATAAAAAGTAACAACAAATTACTAAAGTTCAGTCAATTTCATCTTTTGTCGCATTTTTTCTAAACTAAAAGAAGTTTTTTACTATGATATTAAATGTCATATCGTCGGGGATAGTGCAAATCCGCGGATCTACTACAGGTAGAGAGCGCGTATCTGCATTGCTGATAGTTTTACAGGAGAAGGTTAAAACTGTATATTTTTTTTTATCAAAACAGATTTTGAGCTCATTTTGCAATAAAGAGTTTTATTAATGTTCTTTTTATAGTCAATAATAGCTATTAGGTGTTATAGTTAATAATTTAGTCGCTAGAACACTTACGCGGATTTGATTTAAACACAAATTCACCACAATGTTACCCCATATAGTAAGTTATGCGGTATCGAAATCAAACTAGAAATATTACTAATTATTAATATATGATAATCAAACGATAATATGAATTGTAATATCTGTTTAAAGCCTTATATCTTGCAAGCTTAATTAAAAAAAAAAAAAAATATTTTCAAAATATAAATATTGATAGTACAACAACATTTCAATAACAGTTTGCTTCAATCTTACCTCTAACTCAGCCTATACAGTCTTTTTAATTACCTTAATAGAAACAATAGAGCAGGTTTTAAGAATAATATCACGAAATAAACTCGTAACAATAAAAGAACATCTTCAGCTATCTAACTAAAGGATATCTTTCATATATAAATCTTTATGATTATAAATTGACAAAAAAGTTACTCATTAACATTAAAATTACAAAAAAGTACTATTATTATTACAAAAAGAACTGTTTCAACTACTCAAAAAATAACAACTGTTATTGTAGTTATAGTTTATCATGGCAATGCTTGGGTATAACACTTTTTAACTGTTGTAAATGTTCATATTTTGATTTTGAGATTGGCAATCTTTCAGTAAAGAGTTGTGGTGGAATCACTGGTTGAATCTTTTTTGGTCTTTGAGGTAATTGTTTAAATTGTTCATCGTAACTTAGTTTAAAATTTATTGTACCATTGGGATTGTATTTTAGAACTCTGATATCAACCACACATTTTGCTCCAGTACCTCTTCCAGGACGGATTGTATCATAAATAAGGTAGCTTTTAATACTATAGTCTTTAAAAAATGTATGGTCTACCATTGCTACCTCATATGGAGATGGATTGCATCTAGCTTCTTTGGTAGCTAAAGAGTATTGACTAGGTAAAAATATTTCACGGTGTTTTAACTTTCTTTCTATTACCGAATGAACTGAATCTACCTCCATTTGAGTATGACCCTTTTCTAAATCAGTTGTTGTTTCATCAAACCAATAACACTTTACTTTTTTAGTGCTAAGATTGTATATTGTAAAATTATGAACCATTAGTTTTGTTTTAAAATACAATGCACTGGCTTTCAAGTATGGACATAATTTCACTGCTTGTAAATCAGCAGTAGTAGTGTGAATTGTTCCATTTTTCGCAGCTATTTTGTCAAAAGCTTTTTCTTGTCTAGCTAATTTTTTCCGTGATACATGTTGTAGATACTCTTGCTCTGTAATATTTCCTGTTTTATACGAACAATATAGATCACATGCATCTTTCTTTGGTTGAAACATAGCTATGTTTTTATCTTTCAAAATATCTTCAAAAAGTTTTCTGGAAGCCACTCTCTGTCCATTTTTTGTAGCATTTTTAACATAGATACGATAGAGCTCACGTTTAGACTGTATTATGGGTTCTGGATACAATTTTTTACTTTTTTTTCTGCAGTAGTGAGAAGGCAATTTAGACATATCTCTTAAAAATATTTGCACTAACTCTTTCAAAGAATGGCAAGGCCATGCATTATAATTACGTTTTGTTGTTGTATCCCTATTAGATTTTTCTCCTAGCCAGTACCTAACTGTCCACTCTTTAATACCCAGTGTTCCTAAAAACGTCTTCAAACATACTCTCATTTTGTTTTTATCTAATTTTAAATAATAGACTTTAGTAATACTTCGCTTTGTATTTGCCCTTTCAGTAGTTTTTCTTTTAGTCAATTTTTTATCAACTATAGATAAAACAAAGATTTTCTTGGCTATCCAGCTCATCTCCCAAAATTTTTTTAAAATATTCAATCTTACACTTTCTGTAAACTTTTTGCAGTTAATCACATTACTTTGTAAGCATTTGTTTGACTTACAAGCCTCTCCAAGTTTTCGCGCAGGTCTTACAGCGTCTTGTAAAAATTATGTCGTTTTATATTTCCTGTACATTGCCTTCTCAGTTTACTATTGTGACCTCTAGTTTTATATCCGTTATCTAGCATTTCGGGTTTTGTGTCAAAATTTATAATATCGTACCCTTTCAAATATTTGAACATTTGTATCAAATCACCTCTTCTTCTTCTGTTCTCTAACGATAGTAAATCCAACTTCTTTAACCTCTCTTCATTACTGTATCCTTTCAAAGTTTTAATTCTAGAAGCTCTTTGTTGGACACACTCTAGTTTATCTTTATCATACTGACGATAAAGATTCCAGATAGGAGCTGCGTATTCCAAATATGGGCGTACTAAGGCAATAAACAAGAGTTTCATTGTTTTTTCGTCTAAATATTTAAAAGTGTGTTTGATCTGACCTAGCTTTTGAATTGCTTTATTTACTGCTTTATTTACATGGTGTTTCCATTCCAAATCATCTGAAATGTACACTCCTAAATCCTTTTCCATGCTTGTGTAGGCTAAAGCTGTATTATTC